AACAAATATTCCGTTTGATTGAATATTTGCCTCCGACGATCAAGTTAGTGATCGAAAAACGAAAGTATTTTAGAGAGAGCAAGTAGAGAGAAAGTAGAGAGAAGTTAGAGTAATTTGCTTATGCAATAAATGATATGTCTCAATCCACCCCTCCCATCATAAATGATTGGGGTATTTATAGGGGTGGGAATGTGTGCCCGTTAGGGTTGGTGCCCTAAAAAGGTGCAACCTGATTGGCGGCGCAATTAGTGCAAGACACGCGTCCTTTGGGGGCGCCTCTATAACGCTTTTCTCGGGATTTGGGCCTCCTGATGTAAGGAGGCCTTCTCTCTTTCGAGTGTTCTTTTGTTGGCCACGTGTCATCTTCCTATTGGGACACATGTCGCCCTTTTTTATTGGGCCACGTGTCACTATGGGATTGGACCACGTGATGGGGTATTTTTACCCTAAACATTTGCCCCTCAGAGGGGGTGGCTCACTAGCTCATACCATATGGGCCGCCTCCTCTGATTTTCACTTGTCCAAGCATGTTCGAGTATTGGGCTTTTTGTTGAAAGTGACGAACTATATTGTCCGCCTGGTTTTGGGAAAGATCCTTTGGGCTAATTTCCTTAAGGCGTCCGCCTGATTTCACCTTTTGACTTAAGTCTTGAAATAAGACGGACGAGGGGTACCTCCAGTAATCAGGTGAGACACCTGTCCTCTGCATTTTCCGGAGTAACGGTTTGGATTCGCTGATTTAGCTGTATATTTTGACGTGTCGTTTGGGTAATCGTACATCTTCCCCGTCTTTATTGACGGAACGGTTTAATTAACCGTTTGAGCTTCTAGGTTAGGTTTTTCAAAAGAACCGTTTGAACTTCTAGGCGGTAAAGGTAATTTTACCATTTTGCCCCCATAAATTTTGCCTATAAATAGATAGGGATGTCAGTGGAGCGGGTGAAGTAGGAGACCCGCCCCATCCCCGCCCCAATGGGAAGGGGATGGGTCTCGGTTTGGTGGGTGGTGGTGCGGGGATGGGGATGAAAACCATACCCGCCATAGGTGATGGGGCGGGGGTGGATTTTAGGTTATACCCGCCCTATCCCTGCCCCGCCCCGCCCCACTTCATACCCACCTCGACCCAATCGCCCCACTTCGTACCTGTCATGCCCACCCTATACCCACATCTGTACAATTTTTAAAACAAAATTATATACTTTTATACTATTTTATAAAAAAAAATTATCTGAAATAGTAAATATAATAGTTTGTAATACACTTATATTAAAACAAAAAGGTCTGTAATATTGACATTAATTTTTTTTTAAAAAATAAAATAAAATTGTTTGCTATATTAATCATATAGGATTGTGTATATGTGAAGCGGGGATTAGGCGGGTCTTGGGCGGGGATTAGGTGGAGGTGGATATCCAAGTGGGGGTGGGGCGGGGATGGGTTTGGAATTGTACCCGCGCGGGGTGGGTATAGTGATGAATTTTTGACCCGCCCCGAGGATGGGGATGGGGATGAAAATTTTAGGTGGGGATGGGGATGGGAAAGCCAACATCCGCCCCGACCCGCCCCATTAACATCCCTATAAATAGAACTTGTTTGACTTCATAAAAACACTTTGGATTTAGTGTTTTCTAGAGAGAAGTCAAAGCTTTTAGTGAGAGAAACTGACTTTTCCTCCCAAATTTTCTAGAGCTCAGCCGTGAACTTGACTTTTCCATTCAAGTTTATTGAATTTGACGATCAGTTCATCAAGATCTTTAAATTTCCTCAAGTTTTCTACTCGTACAGAGGTAACCGTCTGCTTCTCTTTATTTTTTCCTTTTCCATACTTGTTTTTAACGAACTGGCACAACACTCGGATTCGTTCGTTTCTCCTTATGAGGTTGGCCGTTTGCCTGGGACTGAGAAGTCTAGAGTGGATGGAGCCGACTCCTCCTCTCTTTGGAGTGGACCCTTTTTTAGTGCGTACCAACTCATCCCCACCTATTCTTCCATGTCTTGTAGTCGAACATGGCGCATACGAGACAAACGTACAAGCGTAATACAGAAAGAAACCTGGACGATAGTATGGTCGACCCTGTAGTCTCTTATAATCCCGAAATACAGACGAGGAGAATACGAATGCCACATTCAATGGTAGTGCCTGCTCGGTAGTGGAGGTGATTGTCTCCTCGTACGGGCAACATGCTCAACAAAATACAACTTCCCGGTCTTCTTCCAGACCAACCAGGGAAGGGGAAATTGTGGCGTCCGGGGCAAATCCGGTACAACGCCTTTCACAATACATTAGCTCGGTCCTGATGCCGTCCGAGCTACTATCTTCAAAGAGGCATCCCACAATTCAGGCGGACACTAGGTCCGGTCGAGGGGGTTTGTCCGACCAAAATCGCCAACAACCCTCAACAAAAACTACCAGGTCGGCCAGGCCACGGACTAGAATCCATATCTATGAGCCGTCTGACCTGCCCCCTCGCAGCGCCCCTACTTCTGGAAATCAGGTGGCCGTTGGAGGAGAAAAGGAAGATAAGGTAAAAGACCCTTGGTGCCTGAGGGCACCATTTAATGAGGCCGGCTAAGGCTCCCAGAGGAGGGGGGGGGGAGCTTAGCCGAGGCCGCTGCTCTGGACACGGTTCTGTCTTCAGAGTTTGGTTCGGTTAGGGCCCCCGAACCTCAAGCGACTGAGCAGGAAGCTGAGAATCCGGATGCTTATCAACCGATCGAGGAGCCCAACACCGTGAATTTTAAAGACCCATGCGCTTGTATTGTTGGCAGTGTGCCTTTGAGCTTTTTGAACAATAAATTCGAGGAGTTTAAGGAATTTACCAAACTTGGAAGGGGTTACCACATCGTGTCCCTAAGGCGTTCATACTCTATGGCCGCTTGGGAAGGCGAGTCACTAAGGAGGAGGTGTTTCAGTGTCTACCGAGCGGCCTTGGAGGTGGGACTTCGTTTCCCGTTGCATTCGTTCGTCTAGAATATGCTAGACGAATATAATATTGCCATTTTTCAGTTGGTGCCGAACAGCTGGGTAAACATATTAAGCTACTTGTTCGTGCCTTAGGCAAGGCATGACCCCCGACGCCCCGACCTTCTGCAAGATGCACTCTATGGTGTGGCTGGATGTAGAGACGGACGGATGACTAGTTCTGAATACCGACAAAGACTACCTGGTAGTTATGCAAAAGCCATCCAAGTAGCGTGACTGGAAGCACCGATTATACCGCATTAAAACCAAAGATGTGGAATTCAATTTGCGGATGAATCGCTTCAATGTCGAGCCTATTAAGCTCGGACGGGGGAATCATAAGCCCACCAAGCTACCCGTCCATCCTGACAATGAGTTCCAATTTGACTATTTTAAGATAAAAAAGGTGTTCAGGGATGGGAAGTCCGTTTCTATTCCGTCTCATTGGATTCCACTGGTCGACTGGCTAAGGGATTTAGTGTTCATGTCGGCCTGCGACCTGTACTGGAACTATCCCCAAGGTGGAACATTGTGACTTGGACGTTCAAAGGTTTTTGTAACTTGAAATTAATCTAACACTTGATTTTTGTTTTCTTATCAGACGAAGCCTTCTTGAAGTTGGACGTCGAGCAGAAGGGGGAAACAGACATGTCTGACTTCAGCCTAGAGCGTTACAAGTTTCGCCAACAACAGTACAATCAGGCTAAGGAGGTACTAAAAAAATTCTTTCTTTCTTTTTTTTTTTTTTTTTTTTTTTTTTGTTTTTTTTTTTTTGCCGAGCTGGTATGTTAGGAGGAGTATCCTTCCTAATTTTACTCGGACATGGCTTCTTTTCATAAATTGCCGAATTGGTATGTTAGGAGAGGTATCCTACCTTATTTTACTCGGACGGCTTCTTTTCATAAATTGCCGAGTTGGTATGTTAGGAGAGGTATCCTTCCTAATTTTACTCGGACATAATATCTTTCTCGGCCAACTTCTCTGCTTTTTTAGGCGTCCACTCCCAGGACTCTGCTTCCAAGGACGGCCAGACGTCTAAGTCTCGGAAGACTGTAGCCGCCAAGGCGACGCCGCAGACTGCTTCCAAGCAGTCTAAAGTAGAACAATTCCAGCTGACACCGAGTGGGGGCTCCAAGTCCATGGACCCGCAAGCTAAAGCGGTCCATGATGAGACCGTCCGCATGGGTGAAGGGGGAAAGTTGTCCCCTTACAAAACGGCCTCGACTCTTCATGTCGAGGTCGTCACAAGGTCTGAATGGCTGGGAAAGCAACCCTCTCAGGCGCCCGATAAGCAGCAAAGTCAACCCCAAGAAATTGGGGAACAACCGCCGCATACTCATTCGACCGAGTTTCGTGTACCATCTCCTCCATCTTTTTCGGCGGGTATATATGGCACTTGCGTGTTTAGTACTTGTACTTCAATTTCAGTAATCTAACTTCCTTCATAGTTGGTACAGATTTTGCCCAAGAGATGAACATGTAACTACCCGGCCAGTCGCTTACTAGCGCTGACCGAAAGGCCATTAAGGAGGCCATGCTGCGGGTCGTCCCTCAAGAGCAGCGGGAAAAGTTCCGCGGAATTAACGAGGGATTCCTCGATCGGTCCCATGCTTAACTGCAATGTCGAGGTAAATATACTCTGACTAAGGTTTGGCACTTAGTCACTAGGCGAAAAACATAAATAAGCACCGATTCAAACCACCCTATGGGCACCGGTTTTGAACTGTTGAGTATTTGAAGATTTGGCACCGGTTCAAAACCGGTGGCTATTTAAAGATTTGGCATCGGTTAACCGGTGCCAATTACCCATGGCACGCTGTTTTTTTTTCAATACAATAGGCACCGGTTTTGACTTAGAACCGGTGCCAAAAGTCCCCAAAAAAAATTTTAAAAAAAAAACTTTTAGCACCGGTTCTTTTCCAAAACCGGTGCCAAAAATGCCCAAAAAAAATAAAAAAAAAATTGCATTTTTTTTCACTTAAATTTTACCAAATACTTATATATAATCATAATATACATAAAACACATATATTTTCTTCAATAACTTTTAATATTACACTTTAAAAAACTGGAAAAAAAAAAAAAAAAAAACTACACAATCAAAGATAAGAGGCAGTAGCAATTCCCAAATAAGACTTGACTGCATCCATCTATGCATCTAGTGCAAAGGAACCTGACAGAAAATGCAGAAGATAAATTAAGATCACAGAACCAAAAACAGACAAGCAAAACAAGCTTAAAAATTTACTTACCAAAATATGTTCTGGGCTTTCTGGGACACTCCACTCATCTGTTTCTTCATGGTTCCTCTTCATAGTCCTATCAGAAAAGAAAGATCCGAAAGCATCTTTGCTTGATGAGCAGCTGGTTTCTCCTCCATTAAAAGAGTCTGCTGGACAATCATTCTCCCCACAGATTGAATTCTCACTTGTGTATAGTCGACTATTCAAAATGCAACTCTCGAGACCATCATATGTCATGATTCCTGAAAGATGTTTGTATAAATTATTGCGACTATATCTAACATACAAAAAATGATGACAAATTTACAAGACATATTCCCATTAAGAGTGACAGATTAAGTTTCAAGAGTGACACATTCAAATTATGTCAATGCAGTAGTGAATCTGGAAGATCAATTCCTATTTTCGTTATTTAAACACTGGCCAACAAAAATTTAGGTCTTTCTATTAGCTTCATAAGATAACTATGTATCGACTCCACAACATCCTCACGGCATCTGCAAGGAAGGAAAAACATAATTTAGGCTGATACCTTAAAACTCTATAAAGGTGCAATCACTCTGTTTTTTGCTATTAGAATAATATAATATCAAAAATCAGAAGAGGAAAAAATAAAAGGAATCCTTGACGCAAGATAGAAGCACAACTATACCCTCTAGAAAGTATCGGACTCAAGCAATAGTCCCCAACTTCCTTTGATAACAAGCTCCAATCACAACGCACCATATCAAGGCCCTTCCGTTCACTTACCTATAACAAACATTTAAATTTACATTACATACTTGAAGCAGCCCCACTTCATATCTTCAAGAAGGTTACTAAAGATACCTCATATGGTTTTCATACACCAAATTATAGATAAAAAATGTACCAGCTGTGAGAATCTTGGTCTTACTTAGAGAGATTTTTATAAGCCACTTTAGATTACTGAGATCGTCTCAAATGGACGACGAACCAGCTAATGATTCCAATAAATGTAGTAAAATAATGGAGCAGCAGCAAAGACATAACACTAAGAGCCAAAAACAGACATAATATGGAAATATTATATTCTAGCCAATAACTGAAACCAACACAAACCTGGGCATCTTCTCTTACACGTAGATTCTGACCAGTTGGATTAAGCAAATCATTGATAATCTGAAATCACAGGATTCAGTTAAATACAATTCTACTCATAAGTAAACCCTGAAATAAATACTTGAACCAGAAAACTTAATAAAAGATTAATAAAAGAAACACGGAGCAGAAACTCCCACCCAGGAGTCTCAACATCTTTCTACAAACTAGAGTCATCTGCTTAATTGGTTCTGATTTTACATCTTGAGATCGAGGAACATCCTTATGGATTGTAACTGGCTTCAAATCCTCCTGGTTTACTGTTTTAGACTCAACATGATCATCAACCAGCAGTGTAAAAAAAAAGGGGGGGGAATAAACACCACCAAATTCTTGCTAAACATCTTGATATTTAAAAGATCAATAAAATGAAACTTGCTATCATTATTCAGGGGGCATAACATATCAAAAATAAGTCAATGTAACCAGAAACTTCATATGTCAGAAATTGTTACCTGTTTCACTGTTTCGTTGAGGGGTAACAACTCTGGAGATGGTGGAGTTGGGATAACAAGGTTCACTCTCATTTTTATCTCTTCAATATACTTCACACCATCCTTAGAAAACTGCAAGATAAACAGTAACCATAAGTCCACCAAAATAAGCATATGTGCAAACTTTACTTTTTCATCATCCTTATTAGTTTTTCATCATTATTCTCAAATCTCAAAAGCTAAACTTTGAAAAGCAGGACTGCAGGAGGCTGAACAAGCCAAAATCAGTTACTGGTTTCTAGCAAAAATCAGCCAAATCCAACCCTAATTTCCAGTTCCACAAATTCATCAAAAAATGATATTCGGTCTAATTACTAAATTCACTAATAAAAGCCTAAATTCAAACCCAGCTAATCCTCACCAAAACAAACAATCAAACATCCAAATTAAAACTGAAACAATCAAACATCCAATCAAACAAAACAATGAGAATTGAGGCAAACAATATCCAAAACAAGAACAAAGCGAAATGTTGTTTTCTATATCGACTTTAAACATAATAACAACCGTTAACAAAGAAATGAAAGGTTGTAGGCCTGTAGCCTGTAGGAGTGAAATTCTATACTCAAATATTCATAAAAATATACTATCTCTTTTAAGCCAATCCAAAATACATAACTATTTTGAAAAATTATAACTTTATCTGTTCATCAACATCATAGTCGTCCATCCAAAAAACTACATTCCTCCAAACCTTAAATCAATCAATCAATTCATAATACTAATACTAGTTTAATCAAAGAATACAACTAAGAATTTGACACCTGAAACTCATCATATAATAATAAAATTGATACCTAAAACTTTCGATTTTGGTGATTACTCAACAGATAATCGAGCAGAAGAGAGAATCCAGCAATTCGTATCTAACCCTAAATAAACAAGCCAATAGCACAATTTTAGCAATGGTAAAACCCTAGATTAACTATACTAACACAAAAAATTAGCGAAATTGATATTCATTGATTAAAAAACTTCATTGATTAAAAAACATTACCTCAGAAGTTGTTTCAATGGAGGAGAAAGCTCAGAACTGCTACAATATAACGCAAAGCTAAATAACCAAGAAACCCTAACCTCGAATTTCTGATTTTTGGTTCGAAATTGATTCGAATTTGTTGTTGTTGAAGACACATGTACATCAAATTGATTCAAAACAGACGCACCTAGAAACCCTAACCTCAAAGAGAGAAGGAGAAGGAGATCGAAAGAGAGATGAAAGGAAAGGGAAAAGTGGCGGTTATAGAGATCAAAGGAGTTTGAGGAAAGTGCTGAGAGAAAGCTCAGAAGCCCCTTCAATGGAGAAATTCGAGTACGCTTCAATGGAGGAGAGAAAGAGAGAGGCAGATCAGATGAGAGAGGAGGAAATATCGAGGAAATGAAAGTAAGAGAAAGAAAGAGTATATCCGGGTTTTTTTTTATTTTACAATAGATTTTGCACCGGTTCGGGTGCCAAATCCATTTCTCCCTTTTTTTTTTTTAAAGAAATATCTTTTTTATTTGGCACCGGTTTGAACCGGTGCCAAAAAGATAATTTGCCACCGGTTTGGCTGGAACCGGTGCCAAAAGCTTGTTTTCCAATCCCGCCCGTTTTTTTAACCACCGGTTTTCAAAAACTGGTGCCAAAGGTGGGGTGCCTTTGTCATTTTTTCTACTAGTGAGTTTATTTTCACGTTTTCGCTTTTACTAACTTGTTTCTGTCCGAATGCAGCTTTTCCTTAGACTCAGCGCCTTCCTGGATTGGCGTTCTAAGGAGCAAGAGAAGATCAAGGCCGCCTAGAACATGATAAAGAAGGTCCAGGGTGAGAACACCGGCCTACTAGCAATGCAGGAGATCCGGCACAAAGCCGCCCTCTATGCACTGTCCGAGAAGTCAACAAAAAGAGGACATCGTCATAATGGGCGATGCTCATAGGCTGGAGCGGCTTGCTCGGGAGGCCCTTCAAAAAGAAAGGGACGAGGCGGTCGCTAACATTTCTTAATGGAAAGAGGGCTTTGAATCCTCTTAGAAGCTAAAGGTCAAGCTGGACTCTAGCCTTCAGGCTCTTCAGGCGACTCTAGACTAATTGGACTCCCTCAAGCTTGAGGTTGACCGACTGAACAAGTCTATTACGAACCTGACTGTGCAGCTCAAAGCACCACGGCTGATCGACCCTAAGGAGGCGGTCCAACTTGAGCATGTGGCCGAGGAGAGGCTGAAGAGCCGTTTCTATGAAGCGTTCTCCATGATGTTTCCCATCAGTGAGTTCGCTTACTATCAGGAGCGCTTTGTTCATCGGCTAAATCATGCATGTCTCTCTCAAGGAGGAAGCCGTAGCTGTCGGACTACCCCCTCCTGAGTTCGTCGAAACTACCTCTCCTCCTCCAAGAGATGATGAGGATGAAGTAGAAGATGACGAGGGGGAGGAGGAGGAAGAGAAGCCGGTCGAGGAAGAGGAGTCGGCCAAGACTGTTCCCAATGCTGATGGTGACAAGGCGTTGGCTAAGTGAAGGGCTTCGGTCTTCTGGTGCAGTTTATCAGCCTTTTTTACTTAGCTTGTTATTTCTTTGTTCTATACAATTTGCATCTTTGTTGCCTGTTTGAGCGGTATTGTATTATGACTTCTTTATTTTACCGCCTGTTTGAGCGGCTTTGATCTATGCAAGTTCTCTCCTTTTTCTTCATTCATACTTAGCATTTTTTTGCATTTTTTCATGCCATATGCCTTTATTTTGAGTACGAATGGATATGGGGGTATGCCCCTTTATTTGGCATTTTGTCTTGTCCATATTTAAAGAGGTTTGATTAACTTGATAGATCTTATACCTCAAAGGGTATGACGACTATAATTTAAAATCATAATGATTTCCCTTGGACTAGGAAAATGTCGAATGAATTTCTATATGCGGCCATTTAATTGGCTTCATATTTAATTTGTGCCAAGTCTTCCTTTGATACTATCTCTTAGATGTACTTATGAAATTTCAGATATGATCTTAATCTGATAATTTCTAAGTATTCGTATGGCTTAATAGCTTAGGTATATCCTTTCCCTTAGACTTAAAATTCCTTAAACAATTTTAGGCTACCTTATTTCTTATCCGTCTGACCAAGATCATGGCCTGATGGATAGCAGTCTGACAATTATGGCTGAGTTACTTTGCTGGGAGAGACTTTTGATAGATTTTTCTGCCGGCTTTCCACATTTGCCCCATTCGAGGGCCATATTGCTTGGCTGGGAGAGACCTTGTTGGGTTTTCTCCTAGTCGTTGTACCTTGCCCCTTTTTAGAGGCCGAGCTGCTATGTTGCTAGCAACCATTGTTTCTAATTTTTGGCGGCATTTCTGCTTAGTCGTACGCAATATTTATGCAAAAATTTAATTAACAATGTTTGACTATCTCATTTATTCGGTCAAAATTACATTGTTTGGCCGTACGACTTTAATTACATTGCTCGGTCGCTAGACCTAGTTGTATATACAACTTTTTTGGCTAAGTATAAAAACTTTATACATAATATATTTTTAGATTGTCCATACCAAGTACATTGAATAGGACAACCATCTAAGGTTTTGAGACGGTATGTACCATCTCGCACTTCTTCTCTGATTCGGTATGGCCCTTCCCAATTATGGGTTAACTTGTCGTCTTCTTTTGCTCGGCCTACCGCTTCTATTTTTCTCAGAACTAGATCTCCCATCTTAAGCGGCCGCTTTGACACCTTTCGATTATATGCCCTTGTCATCCTTAGACAATATATTTCGTGTTTAAGCGTCGCGTTTCCCCTAACTTCCGGAAGAAAGTTTAAGACAGTCTTTATGGCCTCCTAATTGGCCGATTAATCATACAACATCACTCGCAAAGTGGGCTCATACATCTCAATTGGGAGGACGATTTCAGCGCCATAGACAAGAAAGAATAGGGTTTCTCCTATTGAGCTTTTGGCTGTTATTCGATTGGACCATAGGACATTGACCAATTCATCAGCCCATAAGCCGCCTGCTTTCTCAAGCTTCCGCTTGATCAATTATTGTACGCTTCAACTTGACCATTGGCTTTTGGGCGTCCAACCAAGGCAAATCAATGTGTTATGCCCTGATCACTCAGCCAATCTCTGAGATGGTCTATTTCACACTGGGGCCCATTATCGAACACCATTGATTGTGGAACACAAAAACGGGTGATTATATTCTTCCAAATGAAGGTGAACACATCTTTCCACTTGATCCCTCGGATGGCCTCAGTCTCCACCCACTTCGTGTAGTAGTCGACTCCTACTAACACGTACCGTCATTGCCCTGATGCAAGAGTATACGGCTCCAAGATGTCCATGCCCCATTTTACAAAAGGGAGAGGACTACTTATGGCCAACAAGCTATTTGTCGGACGGAGGATGAGGGTTGCGAATCTTTGGCACTTATCACATTTTTTCACCATTTCTCTAGCGTCTGAATTCATGCTCGGCCAGTAATAGCCCACATGGGTTACCTTTTCAGCTAAGCCTCGTCCACCTATGTGTGATCCGCAATGCCCCTGATGAAAGTCATCTAGAACTTCATGCCCCCGCTAAGGCGTAACATACTTCAAATATGGTTTGACAAATGATTTCTTGAACAAGTTCCCACCCTTCTTCTCAAACCATGTCGCCTTTTTCTTCATCACCCAACTCTCTTTTGGGTCGTCCGGAAGAATTCCATCTTTGAGATAGGAGATAATTCCGTCCATCCATGTAGAGCTTTGGTCAATGATTTACATGGGCTCGGCATCAATGCTTCGCTTCTCCTTTTACTTCCCAGAACACAGATCTCAGAGTATCACATGATGCCAAGGAGGCTAGCTTGGACAAGGCATCTGCTTGATTGTTATCGGACCGAGGGACTTGTTGCAACGTGAAATGCTTTAGGCCCTTGACCTCATCCTTCACCATTTGGAGATATTTCATCATTGTCGGCTTCCTAGCCTCGTAGTCACACTTGGCTGACTATCAGCTGGGAGTCCGAACAGGCATTAATTTTTTTTTGCCCCGGTCGCCTTACACATTCTAAGGCCGACCAAAAGGGCTTCACACTCGGCCTCGTTGTTGGAGGCTTGAAACTAAAATCTCAAAGCGTATTCAAACTTATCTCCTTCTGGAGATAGACGAATGATACCAGCGCCACACCCAGTCGTTGTTGCACTTCCATCAACAAACACTTTCCAAATCTGATCCCTTGCTGGCTGTAGGTCCGATCGTGTCATTTCAGCCAAAAAATCTGCAAAGGCTTGACCTTGATTACTTTTCTGGGTTCGAATGTAATATCAAATCCTCTCAATTCTAAGGCCCATTTAAGCATTCGGCCACTAGCCTCCAATGTTGTGAATGGCTTCTTAAACGATTTGTCCGTGTAGACCACAATTGAATGAGCAAGAAAACATGGCCTAAACTTTTTTGATGCCATGAACAATGCCAAGCCTAACTTCTCAATGGTTGGATACCTAAGTTCGGCATTGTGGAAAACATGGCTGATGAAATACACGGGGATCTAATGGCCGTCCCTTTCAACAAGCAGGACGACACTTAAAGAGTGATCAGAAATTACAAGGTACATGTATAGCTTTTCATCTTTGAGTGGATAGACGAGCCGAGGGAGTGTATGCAAGTGATTCTTCAGCTGAACAAAGGCTTCCTCGACCTCTTCCGTCCACTCGAACATAGCATTTTTCTTGATAGTTTGAAAAAAGTAGCGACACTTATCCCCTGATCTTGACATAAACCGTCCGAGAGTGGCTAAGTAGTCGGCCAGCCTCTGAACTTCTTTTATGGCTCTCGGCAATTTCATGTCTAAGACCACTTGGATCTTCTCCGGATTGGCCTCAATGCCACGCTGATCAATCAAAAATCCGAGAAATTTTCCTGACTCAACACCAAAGACACACTTCTTCGGATTCAACATCATCTTATGCTGCCTGAATTCGACTAATGTTTCTCGGAGGTCACTCAGATGATCGGCCGACTTCTTTGATTTAACAATCATATCATCAATATATGCCTCCATGTTCCGGCCGATCTGGTCTCTGAAGATCGTGTTCACAAGCCTCTGAAATGTGGCTGGGGCATTCTTCAGGCCGAACGGCATGACTTTGTAGCAATACAACCCCTGCTCGGTCACAAATGCTGTTTTCTCTTGATCTTCTTCCCACAAAGGGATTTGGTGGAATCCGGAATAGGTGTCCATAAAACTCATCAAGGCATGCCAGGCCATTAACCAGGCGGTCGATTTTAGGGAAGGGAAAGCTATCCTTAGGACATGCCTTATTAAGATCAATGTAATCAACACACAACCGCCAAGTTCCATTCGGCTTCTTGACCAACACTACATTGCCACCCAATTAGGATAAAAGCATTGCCAAATGAAACCCGTGTCCAGCAACTTTTTCACCTTAACTGCGGCCGCCTGATTCCTTTTCTCACCATGGTTTCCCTTTTTCTGCCGAACAGGCTTCACAACCGGGTTTATGGCCAACTTGTGAACTGCCAAGCCTAGGCTATACTCAACATCTCATGAACTTCAAATGTAAACACATCTTTGAAATTTCTTAACAGATTTACTAAGTCGTCTCCAAGCATGTCTATGGCCATAGTGCCGACCTTGACCGTACGATCAGGCTGGTCTGGGTCCAGCATTATGTCCGTATGATCACCGGTCGGCTGCGACCTTAGCTCTTCTGGCCGGCCGACGCTCATTAATTGCTATGCCTCCTCTTTCTTGATTGACTTGTGCTTTTTGCCGACCTGCATTGCTTAAACTGATCCTCCTTCTGAGTTTTGCTCAGGACGCTCTACCATGTCCGAGTGAAGTTGGCTTCACGGCCAGCTGATTACACTCTTTGGCCATTACTTAGTTTCCCTGAATTGAACCTATCTTCCCGTCCAACCACTCAAACTTCATCAGCATTAAGTGAGGGACAATTACAACCTTTGCCGAGTTTAAGGTCGGATGGCCGATGATGACATTATAGCCAGTGAGCTCTTTAACGACTAGGAAGCGGACGACCATGTCCCTTCCCTCTCCCTTCTACCCAAATCGAATAGGCAAGTTTATCCGTCAAACGGGGTGGATAATGCTCCCACCAAACCCATCCAACGGGTGAGAGATATCCTTCAAAGCATCTTCAGGAAAATTCAAATTTTTCAGACAAGCTAGGCTGATTATGTCGAATGAGCTGCCAGTTAGTATCAATCAACACTCGTCCAACCTTCAGATTTGCAACCAAGCAACCTCTCAGTCTGTCGGCATGCTCAGGCATGTTGACATACAAGCAATAGCTAAGCCGACTAATGGAAGTTGGTACTTTCAAGCCCAGCCATATACAGGCGGCATCATAAGCAGCCGACCTGCTTTAACCACACATCCAGCTGTGCATGTGTGGGATAAGCAACATGCAATTAGCATGACATCCAATGGGTACAGCCGGTACTCCCAGCAAAAAAATACAACCGCCCTTACTACCATATGGTACAAACGGCACATGAAATCTTAGTCGTGCCATAACCAGCTTTGCTTAAAAGCACCCCAAACAGTTATTCACTCGAATGATCAAGCGAAGGCCAATGGCCTCATGATCAAATTGAGGCCAATGACCAGATAATATTGCGCGCTAACCCCCACTTGATGGTCGACAGTCCGCCTGATCTGGGGCTATCAGCATAGTGGGGCTAAAAGTAATAATAGTCGACATCTGTCTAGTTCAGCGGCAATCATTATTATGATTTGATTAACTCGGAAAATGTCATACCGTTCAACGTATCAAATTTTCCAAGACAATCAAATTTCTCCTTAATTGAACTAGAAAAATGCTGACCAAAGAGGCTCAAGGGGTCTCGTATTCGAAAGGAGCAATCCCTCTTAGAAGAGAGATTACTCCTTCCGAGGGGCTAATGTTTGGGGGTAAAAATACCCCTGACAAATGGACCACTGTTAATATAACACGTGTCCCAATAGCATGCTGACACGTGTCTAGAGAGGCCCAAAGGGATCTAACCCTCTATTGACACGTGTCACCTAAGCCCTAGAAGGGGAACTGATCCCCTTCCCTATAAATAGAGGAACCATCCTCATTTATCAGGGATACATTGAATACACATTCAATCCACACAAAAACTGAGCAATCTTCATTGCAGAATTCTCTCTGAATCAGAGAGAAGTATTTACATTCCGCAATATACTCCTCATACACGTTCTAACTTGATTGTCGGAGGCGGAACTCCCTCGGGAGTCTCCGTTGTTTTACAGGTACAGGCAGCCGGAGGTTAGTCTCGGTGTTGTAACTCTCCCGCATGACACATCAAAAACCCCGAAACAAGTATTGCAAGGGAGAATTATCATTTCCAGAAGTAGTATTGTGGCTCTGCATCAAACAACAAATAAAGAAAGTCATGTAAGCCTAGAAATTATTTTAATTTAGTAAATAGTTTTATGGCCACAACAAATCATGTAAATCTAGAAATTAAGCAATCTTAGTAATTTGGCTAAAAGGAGCACAAATTGCTCTTGTACCAGGTAAATAAAAAAATTAAAAAAATTACATTGAATGCAATTCAACACTTAAATATCTAACTTACAATGCTTGCATGATAATACGTTTTCAAGCATAACCTACACTATAGCACATAAGCACTACACTAGCAATAATTCTTTGAGTACAACCTATACTCACACACATACCAAACAAATCAAGTTGATTAGCCTTGTACAACCTCCAATCTTACGCTCAACAGTTTGATGACCAAACTAATGCAACTCTGCCCATATGTTTAACGAAAAGGTAATATGTTTTCAACCACTAATTACACAACACCACATAAACACAGAAAATGCACTTTTCCACGTAGTACACATTGTTCATACACATATAAAAAGATATTAGTATAGAAGTACACCAAAAAAAGACGAAACCGTTAAAAAAAAGCTCGAGATACATGCAGTACCTCCAAGCTACATTAAATAAAACATCTCAATTAGAATATGTAAGTCAAAATCTAAGTATCAATTTTTATAACAACATTCAGTTATGTAGTGGCAAGCATTTATATAGTATTGAATGTTTGTAGAAAAAGAATAAGTACCTTATTAGCAAGAGTAACATCATGATTTTCTTCTTCGTGATCATCATAACCATCAGTTTTAGTTTCAGTTTCAGTTTCAGAATCAAGTAATTCATCAGAGCTGGAATCGTCGAAGTCAGAACCATAACTATATTGGAGCTTCCTCTTCAATTTTCGTATAGTCATTCCCTGGCTTTTGACGCGCTTTCTTAGCCATTGTGTTAAACCTTCCAATTTTTGAATATAACACAAAACAGCTGCTTCATCTTTTGTAGACATGTTCAAGCCTTTATGATATGATGGACCAGAAGGTTCTGCAACATCTGATGGCTTAACACCTAATCCTAAACCACAAGAACGGCCATATTGACCTTTGCCTAAAACCTTTGAAACGGGGTCATCATCTAAGCTCACCTCTTGGTCCCCTTGTTCCTTAATAAGGTTCTTAATTTTATTCTAAAAAAGATATTAAAAAAAAATAGCCACAATATAGAATACATTTACATTTATTTCTTGAAACAAAGATTAATTATTTGTACTGATCAAAATTCAATTATGACTTTGAGGACAAAGAAAGGGAATTTATTCTTTTTTTTTCCCCCTTAGGTGGAGATGTAAAGCCTATCTTTAAGTGATCATCACCCTACCAAGACATATTAGAAAATTTCCTATTTAGTAAATTTAATCTTTTTACATCTCTTATAATCCTATTAATAAGAAGACAAGTTTTAATACCCTCAATTAATCATACTAATTTGTTTGTAATTTATAGTAACTTTCTTAGTATAAATTACAAAAAGATTGCCCTGCCAGTAATTCTAAATCAGAAGAACTGAAATCAAGTAACCCATTATAAGGAATATATACAATTACCAAGTAACAA